AAAAAAGAAAATCAAGACAGCTGATAGATACATGTTGACGTAAAACACAACTTTGTTGTATGTCTGAATATTTTCAGGATAAAATGTTAGTAAAATACAATTAAATCTGAAAACCATTTTTTCAACACTAAAGTGGTAAAATGGTATCTACAACACAAAAAAAAACCTGTTTAGATTGACAAAGAAAATTCCCTTACAATAACTCTGACAGTAAACTTGAAAGAGGCTTCCTTCACAGTAAATAAAACAGTTTTGGGGAAGCATACTGATATGTGCAGTCTACTCAAAAATTTAGCCCCAGAATAACATGAGTTATTACAGAGACCAGCAAACTGCCACATATTTTTAATACTATATTATTGGAACCTACTTTTTCATTTATGTATTTTCTATGACTGCTTTCCTGTTTACAAAGGCAGAGTTAAACTTGTGACAGAAAATGGAAAGGGGACCCTTCCCATTTACAGATACCAGGCATGATTGATTTCCTTGACTGAAGGATGTTAATGTTAGACTTGAGTCCCAGGAAAGATTACAGATATCTTACAGATATCTTCAGAAGTTTTTCATAGAGATCAGATAGTAAAGGGATTCTAATCCTATCCTATCCTTCCTGTCTATGCATCTTCTGCACTTCCCCACGTCTAATTCATGTAGCTTTAGTGTATGACATTCAAAGTAGTAAGGGTCAGCCAAATAGCTCAGCAGATTAAAGGTCCTGCAAGAAGGTGCAGATCCCCTGGCCGGCCCCATCCCCAGGGCGAGCTGAGAAGGCAACTGAGACTGGGCGTGGTGGCACTCGCCTATAATCCCGGCTCTTGGGAGGCTGTAAACAGGTGGACCACTACAAGTCCCATTTAGTAGTGAGACCCTAAACACTCTGTAGCCCCTTCCCTAAAATACAAAAAGAAAGAAACAAACAACAACAAAAAGTGGAATCCGAAGATTTTCTATTGCCACAAATGAAAATGTTTATGTTCTCCCCAAATTCCTGTGTTAAAATCTAATTCCAAGCTTGACAGTACTAAGAGATAGGGTCTTTGAGAAGGGATCAGATTGTTAAGAGTGGAGCCTTCAGGAAGATTAATGCCCTTACAAAAGTGACCTACAGTTCCTACCTTCCTCCTCCTTTTGAGAAGAGAGAGAAGATAGCTGTCTCTGACAGAAGCAAGTAGACTTCTCACCAGAAACCAAATTTGCTGCCAGCTTTCCTAGCTGACACAATTTTGAAAAGCACATTTCTCCTGTTACAAACCATCTAATTTAGGGTATTTTGTTATAATAACCTGAATGTACTAGGACACCTATCCTTAAGAGGTAGCCCTTGTCCTCTGTCTCTATCACCAAGAGGAGGACAAGTTAAGCCACAGATCCTCTAAAGCTCTGTAGACACACAAGACTTACAGGAAGAGCCCTGTATCTTAAAGTCATCACTAATAAGCAGTTATAAGAGGCACTCCATACAAGGTCTGAGAAGCAATCACACACTTCAGTGGGTTAACTGCTGCTGGTGAAGAGTACAGAGTAGCACCCTTGGAGAAATCAATCCCTTCACAACATAGATTCACATCCTCCAAATAAAGCAACTTTTGGACCTTCCAACCCTGAGCATTTCCTGGCATAACCCCATGGTTCTCAAATTACTAGAATTATCTTGGAGGAAATGACAAAGCAGATAAAAAAAAAAAAAAAAAACGCTAAAATGTGTGTAAATAGTTATGCCCATCTTAACTGTGGTCAACACAATAAAAGCATTTATAAAGTAAAATGAACTTGATGCTTCATCCTTATATCTTGATAAAGCACAACTAGTTTTGTTGTTTTTTTTTTGAACCAGGGATTAACTTTTTTTTTTTTGAACCGTGGATTGAACTCAGGCCCTTGCACCTGCCAGGGAAGCACTTATTCCACTGAGCTATCTCCCCAGCCCCTCATACCTCGATGACTAAAATATTTTTTTAAATCTCTTTAAAATGACAAACATTAAAAAGTTAAAAGATTATTATAACAAAAATATTTTTAAAATCAGTTTTACCTGATCAAGATTTTTGAAGAGAAGAATATCTTTGCAAGCTTCCTGAAGTCTGCATCTCTGTTCATCAGTTTTAGGATGAATTACCTGTAAATCCAAATAAAGCAAGTGAAAATTTCTACTCCATTTTATAAACTGCTGATTTAAAAGCAAATACATTATTTTTTCCTAAAAAGTGGGGGAAATTGGCTGGGTGTGATAGCACATGCCTATAATTCCAGCACTATGGAGAACAAAGCATGAGGATCACCACGAGAGGCCAGCCTGAGCTACATAACAAGATCATGTCTAAAAAAAAAAAAAGTGGGGTAAATTAAGAGTATATTTTCCATAATTTTAATTTTACATAACTAATAAGCAGGAGGCTGAAAGTGGAGGGGTGACAAGTAAAGCCCACGCACCACCACAGCAGCAGTCAGTTGGCCTGGGGGAACCTCCAGGTTATCACTCATGAAGCAGAGTATTACAAATCCGTCCGGGAAACAAAGACTGAGTTGGGCACGATGGCCAGGTCTATAAATCCACTGCTCAGTAAAGGGATGTAGAAGCACTGCAAATTCAAGGCTAGTCTGTCAAAGGAAAAGCAAAAAGGGGAGGGGAGGGAAGAAAAAAGAAAAAGAAAAAATGAGCCAGATGTGGCGGCTGTAATTCTAGCCTTGAGGAGGCTGATCCAGGACTGCAGCATGTTCAAGGCCAGCCTGGGCTGCATAATGAGTTCAAGGTCAGCCTGAAATACACAGTTGATCTGTCTCAAAAAACTAAAAAAAGGAAAAAAATGAGCATCCACTCAGTATCAAACATTACCCTAGCTCTGTGAATACAGCAGTGGATAGACAAAAATATCTGCCCTCATATTCTAAGTTCCTAAAATATGCCAGAGAATGATGATGATAAAATAGGAAATAAGGTGGACAAGGGACATACAAGTATGGTGTGTAAGTGTGACCTGTTGAGGCCTCATTCAGAAGGTAACACGGAAGATCTCAAAGAAGTTCTGTACAATACGAGGAAGTCATGTGGATATCTCTGTGAGGATAGCAAGTAAAAACAAGGCTGTTGGCCGGGCATGGGGCCCATATCTTCAAAAGAAAGGAGGGCCAGGGAGATGGCTCAGTGGAATAAGCGCTTCCTTGGCAAGCGCAAGGGCCTGAATTCAATTCCCTGGTTCCACCAAAAAAAGAAAAAGAAAAAGAAAAAGAAAAAGAAAAAGAAAAAGAAAAAGAAAAAGAAGAGGAAGAGAAAAAGGAAAAACAAGAAGAGGAGAGGAGAAGAGGAGAAGAGGAGAGGAAGGAGGAGGCAGAGGAAGAAAACAAAGCTTTATGGTGGGCGAGTGAAAAGCAAAACTGGAAGTTTGAAAAATAAACCAGGTGTGGTGGCACAAACCTATAATACCAGCACTTAGAAGGCTGAAATGGGAGTAGTTGTGAGTTCAAGGCCAGTCTGCACCACACAGAAAGACCCGGTCTCAAAAAAAAAAAAGGAAACACGTAATTGGTGTAGAGAGGAAAAGATCAAGAGGCAGATTAGAGGTAAAGGGATGTCAAATCACAACAAAGCATTCTGGGTCATAGAATTGGAATTTTTCTCTAGAAACATAGGAACAATTTGAAGGTAGCAACTAAGGAAGAAATATGACAAATATTTTTAAAAGAGCTCACTGGGAAAGTGCAAACTATAGTGTCAGATGGTGATGATTTGGACCAGGATGGCAGTCACAGAAGCATTAGAAGTATAGAATTCTGGACATATTTTGAAAACAGAACCCATTGGATTTACTGAAAAACTAGAAGTTGGTATGAAAAAGTAAAGAATTGAGG